AGGCCCCACACTGCGCCACTGGCCTTGCAGACTTGATGTGTGGAGTCGACAGGTCAGCCAGGCCGTGCGGACCACGCGCTTCTATTTCACAGAGGGGAATGTTGAGGGGAGGAGAATGAAGGCATCGAAGCAGCCAGGCCAGCCATCAGCAGGACAGCAGGAGCTGGTCCTCCGGAGGTGAGGAAGGCCCGCCGTCCTCAGGACTCCAAAGCGCGGGGGGAACAACACATCAGACACGTGCTCAAGCACAGAGACGCCTTTATTGGTTCCTGTGTCCAAATAGCAGGAGTTTCAGGCGTTTCCGTCTCCCTCGCCGCCTCAGCAGGTCAGCCCCCCGGGGCAGGGGCTGGGGCATCAGGCTTGGGTCCCCACAGAGGGAAAGGGCTTCCCAGCCTGGTACATCATCCTGGGAAAGACCCTGAGCTGGGTCACATGCCTGCCTCGTGGGTCAAGGCCAGGGGGTGCCATGGGGAGGGCACGGTTGGGGTGTGTCTGGGGGTGAGTGGGCCCTCCACAAGGCAGGGCGGCCAGAGCCCACCCTGGGGGACGGCACCCTCTCCCGCATCTGTCACAGCAGTCGGCTAAGGCACGCTGGCTGGATCATGTGCTGCGGCAGAAGGCCAGAGACGTCCTGGGGACCCTGACCCTCTCCGGACCCGTGGCTGACGGAACGCAGCTATTTTTTCCTCCTTGGAGTCTGGGAATTGCTGGCACAGCTGTCAGGGGCTGGGGCAGCCTGTTTGCTGGCCGCTCCAGAGTCCTTCTTCGGGGCTGGCCTGTGCTTCTCCTCCTTGGCCAGAGGTGAAGACCGGGGGGAATGAGGCCTTGAATGTAGGGCCTGCACAACCCTGATAGCCCCCACTGCGGCGAGGAGCCCCCAGAGCAGGGTGGAAGGCTCCAGGGGAGACAGCTGTTTCCGGACCCAGCTGAGGGCCTGGGCCAGGGTGTTGCTGGAGCTGCGGGCTCGGGCTGGGCCCCTGTCCTGTGGGTGCAGGATTGAGAAAGGTCCGTGGGGACCACCCCTGTGGGGGAGGCTAACCCCTGCCACTCCCCTTCCCTAACGCCTTCCCACCTGGAGGCCAAACTGTCTGAGCAGCATGTCCAGCGTTGGGTCCCCCAAGGACACTGGTGGGAAGAATTCCTCCACCCACTGGCGTCGCCACCACTGGCTGCAACAGGGAGGGGCGTTCAGGGGCTGCCCGAGCCCAGGCCCCGGCTCCCCACTGGGCACCCTGGCCTTACCTCTGCTCCCCGGGATGTGAGAACCAGTACTTGTAGCGCTGGGCCCGCAAGTAGGTGGGCGGCTGCTTGTGGAAGGGGTATTTGGCCACATCGTTCTGGATAAGGCGGATCACTGCAAGGGAGTGGGCTCAGCACAGCCAGGGCTCTCTCAGCCCCACCCTTTCCCACACATCCTGCCCCCGCCAGCCCCTACCCTTCCCACAAGCCACCCGACTCCCACGGGGCCTCACCAGGCTCCTTGCCCTGCAGCAGGCGCAGGACCAGGCCCGTGAACCAGGGGCTATGAGAGTGCGGGCCCAAGGCTGCAAACCACATCTGCCAATCGAGGCGGGGCTGGTGGGGCGCCACGATGGGGGGCGGCCGGCTCACATTCCCGGGCTTGTACATGAACTCGATCTCCTACCCGGCAGAGTAGGTTAGCACGACTCCCTGGACTGGATGGACCCTCCCCCCTGCCCTCTGCGGGTCCCTCCCTGCTTCGTGGGGCCCGAGGGGTCATTTACCACCCAGTGATGCCCGTCATAGCTGCCCTCCAGCACCACTTCGGGCCGCCCACCCAGACCGGTCATCCGGCGGAAGAGGCCGTAGGAGTTAGCCAGCTGCAGGTGCTCCACGGTGCCAAACAGGCGGTGGGCCCCAGTCCAGAGACGCCCGTGGGTTGAGGGTTCCATGTAGGAGTATGGCACCTGGAGGCCGGTGGGCAGAGGCTCAGCGCCGCCCCTCCGGACCCCTCCCTCCTCCCCAAGTGCTACCCACCAGGCTGATCACAAACAAGGCCACCGTGGCAGTGCCGAAGATGAACAGCTGGACTGCAGAGTGGAGCCTCCTCAGCCACCCTCGCACCTGGGTCCACCTGGGGGCGGGGGACCCGAGTGCCGTCAGGCCTGCCCTGCACAGCTCTGCCCCCACCCCCTTGGGCCACATACCTCCAGAGGGCAGTCAGCACTTCCCAGGTGAGGGAGGCCACCCCCAGCCACATGGTGGGCAGGGTCACCATCTTCAGCCACTGGGAAAACTGGTGGAAGGTAAAGGCTGCAGAAGGAAAGGGGTGTGAGGAGGGGCGGTCCAGCCTCTGCCCTCTGGCCCCCAGCCGGCACTCACTGGTTCTGGAGCGGACAGCATACTGCTCCCAGTCAGCTTCCAGGCCGAAGTAGTGCGCGGTACCATAGGCTAGCAGCCCGTAGACGGCAAATTCCAAGAGCAGAGACAGCATAGCCAGCAGCGTCCTGGGCCAGGCTGTTGAGCAAGACAGTCACAGGTCGGCTGGGGTGGAACTAGAGCAGGGGTCACTTGGGGGGTGGTGGAGGGAAAGAAACTTGCTGGTGGGTGGCTAGGCTGAGGCTGTCTGTCTGGGACAAGCTGACACTCACAAGCGGCCGTCTTTCTGCAGCGGCTGTGGCCAGACGCGGCAGTCAGGTGCCCGTCGTCCAGAAGAGCGGTGGTGAGCACCAGGGTGAGCAGGTTGAAGAAATTATAGTTGCCGGTGATGATAATCAGGACTTGCAGCAAAACCTGGCGGAGGTCTGCACTGAGAGCTCCGGAGGCCCACCCCCTCCTGGTCCTCCCGAGCCTGCCCCTGTGCACCCCACGCCCAGGGCTCTCCTGCAGGCGTCCCATCCCCTCCTCATCACCCCTGGGCCTCTGGTATGTTCTCACTCCACTGTCCTCTACCTCCTGCTCGTACCTTCCCTGGCTCCCCACTCCCTGGACAAGACCCAAGCTCAGCATGCTTCCTGCAGCCCTTCTGCACCTGCCCCTGCTGACCTCACTGGCGTCTTCTAGGGAGGCTGCAGCCCTGCCCCGTAGACAGGCCTTCACATCCTGGGTTAGCCTGTCCCTCTGCACACCAAGCCTTCCTGAGTGCTTGCAACAGCCACCCGGTCCCAGTGGGACCCTGTGGGCAGTGCTGAAGAAGGCCACATCCTGCCTTCCTGATGGCTGAGGTCCCCACCCACCTGGGAGTAGAAAGCTGCCAAGCGCAGGCGGCGAACAGGGGCGAAGAAGAGAGGGGGCACCGCGATCTCGATGAGGAAGGTTGCCACCACGCATAGTTTGTGCAACCAGACAGGCAGATGGTGGGTGAACCAGGAGGCAGGTGTGGGCAGGCACTGGGTCTCGTAGTGGTAGGTGAGCGCTGCAGGTAGTAAGCGAGGGGTCAGGGCTGGGCAGGCCCCCCCAAGACTGCCCCAACTTCCAGGACAGGACCCTCACCAGTAAGCCCCCACCAGGCGGGGCAACGGCTGGTCAGCTTGACCACACCCGAGGCAAACATGAGGCGAAACAGCAGCCATCGGACCAGCCAGAAGGGGAGGTCTTCGTGGGGCAAGGCCCCTGCCAGCCCGCCCTGGGGGGCCTGCTTATGGTGCGGGCGCTGCCTCAGGGGGGCCACCAGCACGGCCAGGAAGCCAGTCTCCAGCAGCAGGGAGTCCCTATGGGGAGAACGGACAGCACAAAGGGCCCCTCCCCATCAAGGCTGCTCCCCTCAGAGGGTCCTCTCCAGGGAGGACATGTCCCTCTCCACCCACCCCCTGCAGTCCCACCCCCAGACCGCACACCACACTCACCACTGGAAATAAAGAAACACCTGGCCCACCTGCAGGGAGAAGGGCTGTCAGGGCGGGGGGCGGGGGGGTGTCTGCAGAGGCAGGCACGGCAGAGACAGGGGGGAGGGGGAGGCTGGACAGGGCTGGAGGGAGTTGGTGGCACGGGTCTCAGTGGTGCAGGGTGCAGCAGGCGGCCCCCACTTGCCTGGCAGGCCGACAGGTAGGCAGCCCAGAGCAGCAGGTAGACGGGGAGAGTGCGCAGCCGGCGCAGCAGCAGTGCACCCAGGGCCAGCAGGGCGCCCAGCAGGCTCAGCAGCTCCAGGCCCTGCGCGGTGTCCAGCCCCAGCTGCGGAGCCTCCCACAGCAGGGTCGGGGTCTCCCACAGCTGCTGCCAGCGCCCCTTGCCCTGGGGCCTCAGCGTCTTCCGCGCAGGTAGGATGCCGTCGGCACCATACAGGCCTGTGGGAGCGCACATGAGGGCCAGGCCCTGGACACTGCCCCCCAAGGCTAGACTCCCGCCACCCGTCAGGGCCTGCAGGACCGAACCCTTCCCCCAACCTAGGTCAGGGCGTGAAGACTCTTGACACCAGGTGAGAATCCGCTGATCCCCAACCCCTCCCAGATCAGGGCCCAGAAGCCCTCCCAGACTCCCCAGGTCAGGACCTCCCGCCCAACGGAGCGGGGCTCCCCTCTCCTCCAGGTCATATCCCCGACCTGCCCCACCAGCTCTGGGCCCACCCCCCTGGGAATTCTGCCCCGGCCCCTGCGCGCCCTCATACCTCCCCGAGCCCCCCGCGGGCCTCAGGGCACGAACCGAAGCCCCTACCCCAGGCACCGAGGCCTGGGCCTCACTCCTCCCCCAGTCAGCGGAGTGTCGGACGGGGAGAGGAGGAGACGCAGGGCGCGGGCTAAGGGGCGTCCCACCCTCGGCGCCCTCACCCGGGATCTGCGTGTAGAGGGACGAGAAGGCGAACATGAAGACGGCGGCCACGCCCTGAAGGAAAAGCTGCCGCGGGCGCCGGGAGCCCGCCATGTCCGCTACGCGGCCGGCCGGAGGACAGCCCTCGGGCACCCGCGGCCCCGCCCCGCCGGCCCCGCCCCCGCGCCGGCCCCGCCCCCAGGGCTGGCCGCGGCCCTTCCGGCGCGCTCCCGCAGCCCGGCGCTGCCGCGTGCGTCATAGATGTGCGCGCGGCGACGCGCGCTACGTCCTTTCCCTGGGCGGGAACAGCAAAATGGCGCCAGAACCAGTGGCGGGCTGAGGACACTGGCTCCTTTCGAAGACTGCCCTGCGGTCCCCGGGCCGCCCCGGCCCCTTCCGGACATGGAGGACGTGGAGGCGCGCTTCGCCCACCTGCTGCAGCCCATCCGCGACCTCACTAAGAACTGGGAGGTGGACGTGGCGGCCCAGCTGGGCGAATATCTGGAGGAGGTGAGTGCCGTCCCGGGAAGTGGCGCGGGGCGGGCGGGGGCGGCCGCGGGGCGGGGCGGCGGGCCGGGGGGCTGCTGGGCGGCCCCGCCCCGTCTCCTCGTCGGGGTCTGTCTGGCGCTCCGGCCGCACTCGGCCTCAGGCTCGCTTCTTTTTCTCCACCCCTGTCTCTGCCTCTGAAGTCATCCCTTATTACATTAGCCTGGAGTTGTCATCACAGGTCGCTACCTATTCTTGAGCCGCGAAGTGGATTTCATGGGTGATGACAGGCATTTTTATATAATGTAACAGAATAGACTCGAATTTCTGTGCATGTTTGGGTATTTGAGAGCGCTTCGTGCAGCCCTTCTGCACCTGCCTCTGCTGACCTCGCTGGCGTCTTCTGGAGAGGCTGCAGCCCTGCCCCGCAGTGAGAGGGTTTCTTGTCTTGGATTTTGAAACCAGTTTGAGGTTACTGTCATGTCCACTCATCAGTATTTAGTCTTTCTTCATACTTGACAGCCGAGTCTAGGCCTTGTTAACGCGCTGTCTGCTCCGTTTCTGCACTTCGCTTTCACACCGCAGCCCACTTGGACTGCTCTTGTCTTGATCAACAGTGACGTCCATCCTGGCAAATCCATGGGACGCTAGAAGTGTCACCTTATTCAGCTTTGCAGCATCTGTTTGGCTGACCACTCTTTTTTAGATACAGGTTTACGTGCTCTGATCTTTTCCCCCATGTTATTTGCTTACTATTTCTTTACTATTCAATCTCTTAAGTATTTAGTTCCTTTGGGCAGGACCCATCTTATGTATCTTCCCTAAATAATCTCACTTGTTTCCCTGATTTTAAATATCACCTGTATGAGGACAATTCTCAGATTTATGTCTCCATTCCAGGTCTTTCTTTTCTTTCTTTTTATTTTTTTAGATAGCACGAGGTGGGGAGAGGGGCAGAGAGGGAAGGAGAGAGAAAGAAAGAAAGTTAGTTAGGCAGGCCCCACACTCAGCATGGAACCTGACTTGGTGCTCCATCCCACGACCCTGGGATTATGCCATGAGATGCTCAACCAACTGAGCTCCCTCAGGCCCCCAGCAGATCTTTTTTCTGATTTCATTTTGTCTATCCAGCTGCTCACCTTTGACATTCCCCTTAGACATTCCACACAAGCATCTCCGTTTTTTGTTTTTTGTTTTTTAATGTTTGTTTATTTTGAGAGTGGGGTAGGGTTAGAGAGAGAGGGAAAGAGAACCTAAACAGTGCTGTCAGCACAGAGCACGATTTGGGGCTCGAACTCAGGAACTGGGAGATCATGACCTGAGCTGAAACTGAGAGTCACTTAACTGACTGAGCCACCCAGGCTCCCCAAGCATCTCTGATTTAATATATTAAAGTGGAGCTCTATATTTTTTTGCTCTAATCTCAGTGTTCCTGATCTTGGTAAATAGCACTAATGTTCAACAAAAGGTGAGAGCTAAGAGCTGTTTAAGTGAAACTCCAGGAATTCTGTCAATTACACCACCAGAATTTCCCTTGAATTCATCTGTTTTCTACCTGGTTCAGATTCATGTAAAACTTTCCTTTCTAGGGTCTGTAACAGCTTTTCTTGGCCCCATCCAATTCATGCTCCATCCAGTAGCAAGTGTGACTCTTAGCTGCAGTGGTGCCCAGCCTAAATCCCCTCAGAGGTTTTCTTCTGAGCTCAGACTAAAGTGCAAACCTCCTTTTCTGAATCACAGCCTTGCTGACTGTTTTAGCCTCATCTTGAGCTCCTCTCCACCTGTTCATTTGAGCCAATCAACCTACAACACTGGAGCTTATTTATTTATTTTTTTAAGTTTATTTATTTAATTTGAGATAGAGAACCAGGAGGGAAAGGGCAGAGAGGATCTGAAGCAGGCTCTGTGCTGACAGCAGACACTCAAATGACTGAGCCACCCAGGTGCCCACCCCTTTTTTAAAGAAGGAACTTTATGTATTTTATTATTGTTATTATTATTTAGTAATCTCTGCACTCAACCTCGGGCTCGATCTCAGGACCCTGAGATCAGGAGTTGCATACTCTACTGATTGAGCGTGGAGCTCATTCCTGACTGAGTATATTTTTTGCTCCCACTGGGGAATATTCTTCACCCAGTTCTTTTCATGATTAATCCCCTCTTATCCTTTATGTCTCAGTTTAAATGTCAGTGAGCAGCCTGTCTAAAATAGTTGTTCTGGTACCTTGTGTTCTTTAGAATGTTTATCACAAGCTCTTCCTTAACTTGTTCACTTGTTTGTGGTCTGTTTCCACTCTAGAATGTAACTTCTGTTAGGGCAGGAACCATGTGTATACTCTGTTTCCTTTGCATAGTAGAATGCCTGGCATGTAATAGGCATAGAATAAGCATTTGTTGAATGAATACTTGATCTGCTGATCTACCTTCTCTGCTTGGACACCTAGACTGCTGAAAAAATGCAGAATTGTGCTGGGTGGGGCTGCTGTGAGTTCAGGTTTCCATACTGAGCAGGGTGCTTGGGGATGCCTGGTAAGTCTACTTCCTGGCTTGGTCCTGCTTTTGTTTGCTCTTCCAGACCTTCTCTGCCCTTTAAATCCTGATTGCCTGCTTCTCATTTTGTTTTTCTCCTCTTTTCTTCTGTGCAGCTACCAGAAAGTTTTTTTTTTTTTTTTTTAACACATCTTATCATGTTGATACTCTCTTTCATCCATTTATTTGTTTGGTGTTGTTGAGGGTCTGCTGTACGCCAAGAATCATGTTAAAACCTGAGAAAATAGTGGCAAGCAAACAGTAATCCCTGCTTCCCCCTTATGGGAGGACGGATCCTGAGGAAGTAGCGACATGGAGTCATTAGAACGGGTATTAGTTCTACAAGGAGGTTAAGAGATGGGCTCACGGTCCTATCTGATAGGTGGCAGAGCAGAGGCCACCATCCTCATCATGGTGTCTTTGTGCAATCTCAAGCTGATGAGAGGTACAAAAGAAAAGTTGAGGGCTCCATGAAGAGTTTATGTGGGGAACCTGACTTTGTTTGGGATGAAAGGACCTGCCTAGTCAGAATGAGCTGAAGAATGTTCCATGTGGAGAGAAGACAGGTTCCAGGGATGCAAAGGGCTTGGCTCCACGTGGGACCTGGAGAGGTCGCCCTGTGTGACTGCCGTGCAGCGGACAGGGAAGGGTGGGCAGCTGGAGAGGGAAGCTGGTAAGCCTGCAAGGCTCTCTTTGCGATTTGGGTTTTTTCCCTAAGAGTGGCAAAAAGCCATTAGGGCTCTGAGTGGAGTGATGTCATCTGCCTGGTGTCTGCAGACAAGCGCTGGCTTGTGAAGAGGAGGCTGGAAGGGGTGAAGGCGGGGGAGCCCAGTTAGTGCCGAGGGCCAAGCAAGAGGTGAGGCTGGCTGAGCAAGAGCCACGGTCACCGTGGAGAGGAGCAGATGGTTTAGTCGAAGTGGAGCATGGGATTGGCAGGGACGTCGGCATAGCTTGAACGGGGGGAGGGAAATGAGAGAAGACAGGAAGGAGCTAAGACTTGTGGGTTTGTGGACAGGTGGTTGGGTCCACCACCAAATGGCATTTGAAGAAAGCAGTTGGACATACAGATTTAGGCTTAGATGGGAGGTCCAATCTGGAACACGCATTTGGGAGTTGTTAGAAGGTGGATGGAGTGTGAGGTCCAGGGAGTGGGTGAACCAGCCTAGGCTGAGAAGAAGAGGGCCTGGGTGGCCGAGCTACCCTCTCCTTCATAGTCCTTCGTTTCAGGGAAAGCCCTTCAATTGTTTCCAGAATGCTCGCAGTCACTCAGACTCTCATGTGCCACTGACCTGAAGAAGTCCCTCTGTCCTTCAGGAACTGGTAGAGGTGGCCCCTTGGTGGTGTCCTCCCAGACTCCCTCTCCATAGTGTTTAATGTCTAACCCTGCTCCCAACACACCCTGTGCTTTGGACGTGTTTGCACAATACTTGTTTTCCTAGATAGTAGAATCTCAGGTCAGCTAACTGCCTTTGTGGGAGTGGGTGCTCTTCCTAAAAGGCCTCTCCCTTCATCTGCCTGGGGAGTGTCTTTCAGGCTGAGCTCTGATGTCAGCACTTGGGTTGTTCATGAAACTGTTACTGGACACCAGCGTCAGACCCTGAGGTGAAGGCTGCATTGCCCTACAGGGCAGGCCCAGGCGTCCGAGCCACACTGCAGGCTTCACACGGGGCACAGCTGGGGGCAGCTGTCCTAGGCACGTGGAAAGCAAAGGCAAAGAGCTTGAAAAAACACAGTGGGCTTCAAAGTGCTGTTTGCTGAGAGATGCGCGGGGGAGGGGCCAGCTTGTGGGGGGCCCTGGCTCCAGTATGAGGATAAAGGATATGTTGGGGTTGCTCTAAGCACAGTCCCGCAACCTGGCGGAGAGGGTTTGGGAAGGGTGGGCATGTGGTCCACGGACACTGACATTCAAGGGGTGACAGGAGCCAGGGCTCCGGGGAGGTCAGAGGTTGCAGAGGAAGGACGAGGACTCACAAGTGTTTCCTTAGTTTCTGCTCAAAGGATTGAGGCCCAGAGTTTTGTCTCTGTCTCCTCACCCCTGAGGCTGCCCTTTCCTTCTCTCAGGTTGAGGGATCTTCCTGCCCAATTCTGTCCAAGTTGGGCCTTGCCTTGGATGGGCTCAGTGTGCAGCATCTCCCCAAAGGGACTGCTGTGCGGCTCTGGCCGTTTGTGGCTGATACACTCTCGGGCCTCCCTTTTCTAAACTAGTAGGGCTGGGAGGTTACAGGAAGGAGGAGAAATCACAAAGACCTGCATCCCCCCTCCAAGCAGAGCCAGCGCTCTGAGGGGCTACTTGTGGTGACCAGGCATCCAGGCCAGAATGCCAGGAGGAGGCAGGGCTGCTGGGTGGGCTCTTGGGGAGAAGTGTACACAGGTGTCAGCTTCCTGATGCCCTGCTGTTGTGTTTTGCAGCTGGACCAGATCTGCATTTCTTTTGATGAAGGGAAAACCACCATGAACTTCATTGAGGCAGCGCTGTTGATCCAGGGCTCTGCCTGTGTCTACAGTAAGAAGGTGGGCCCGTCTGGCTGCTGCTCTTGCTGTTTCCGTATCTGGTGGGACTGGGGTGCACTGCCCTGCTGGTTGGTTCACTGTCCCTCCGCCCCCCGCCCCCGTCTCTTACCTGTCTCGCCATCACCCCCTGTCTCCCTCTTCCTCAGTACCTTTTAATACAGCTTGGATTTATAATTGGACAACTACAAATGAGAACAGTCTTGGATTTATAACTGCAGGGCCTGCTGCTAATGCTAAACTTCTAACAGTGTACGGGAGAGCCCCACGCAGCAAAGAATTATCCAGTCCAAAATGTCAGTAGTCCCATCGCATAGAAACCTTGTAGAATAAGAGGAAATGCAGGATGAAGGGAGCACCCTAAGAAAACCAGTATTTAGGAGGTGCCCACGAGAAGAAAAAGTCAGAGAAAGGTAGATCAAGACAGTGTCCTAGAAGTCAGCAGTGGAGAATTTCAGGGGGGGGGAGTGATAAGACCATAAGACCAAAAACGTTGGATTCACTGAATTGACCCACACAGGAAAGATTTAAGTGTCCAGTGAGTCTGTACTTGGAAGGTCACCAAGGTTTTAGGGAGAGAAGGACCAGACTGTGGGGTGGGGAGAGATACGGAGGCATGACGTGACCCCTTTGGGGGGCAGTCACTGGAATGGGGGACAAGGGTGGGCGGTAAGGAAAGCAGCAGCCCTCGTCCGCCTCATGCCAGCTCCCGGACACTAGCTGGACTGGTGAAATCAGGACTGGGTGGGGGCAGGTATCAGTGACAGCCAGGCCTAAACCCCATAGAGCTGAGCCGTGGGGCGGCGGGTGAAACAATTCCAGAAGAGATAGCTGAGGAATGGATCAGGACCATGGGTTGACAGGCCTACCCTGAGAAGAAGAAGAGGCACCTCACCTCAGGGTTCTTGGGGAAGAAGTCAACATTGATGTACAGAGGTTGGACACGAGCATTTGGGGAGTTCCTGCCTAGGGCCCCAGTTTCCAAAATGGAGACTATAAGGCAGCTGTTAAGAATCAGCTACAGGTAGGAAATTTGAAGAGTGAAATTTGGTGAAAGTTCAAAATACTTGCTGAGGGGAATGCAAAACAAAAGACTAACCAAAAGTGCAGACAGTCTGATGGAGACTAAACGCACCTTGCTGTTCACAGGGGCAGCATGGGCACGTTTCTGGAGTTTTTCCCCAGCAGTGCTTGGCCATCCCCTGGGGGAGGAGCAGGGAAACGTGGGCGAAGGCACTGACTCAGAACTGGCCGTTTGGTGGGTGGAGAAAGACAAAAGGTAGGAGCGTAGATGTGTGTTAAGGAACTTGATAGTGGGGTCCAAACTGGGGAAGGGCAAGCGAGCAATCTGCATTCAGTCTGAACTGGCACAGATGTGGATTTACCTCTGGGCACCCGAGTCATTAAGGTAGCTAAGGCTTCACTGGTTACGTCAGATTGCTACTTCCTGCTTTTGTCCTGAGAAAGAATGTCTGTAGGGAACGTTGAAAACAAAACGTGAGGTGACAGATGGAGAGATGTGCGGTACGGCAAGTGTAGTGGAAGGTTAATGGTAAAGTCTGGAAGGTGTAGGGGAGTGTAAGCTCTAGGTCAGCACTGTCCAGTAGGACACTCTTGAAATGATGGGCATGGTCTGTGGCCTGTGCTGTCAAAGACAGTAAGTGCTTGTGGCACGTGACTACCGAGCCCTTGAAATGTGGCCAGTGTGACTGAGGAATTTTGGGTTTTACTAACTTTCAGTTAACTTAAATTTAAAATTGGTTAACTCACATGTGGCTAGCAGCTGCCAGATTAGGTAGGGCAGCCTGAGATTCACGCATCCCTGGGTACATTTCCCAGACCTACCCCTGATCCAGGCGACGTCATTTCTCTCAGTTTATTCTCCTGTAAAATGGGAACAGCAGTGACACCCAATTCAGACAGACTAGATGGGATGAAGCCAGAGCACAGTCCTGTATACATGAACGAACACTTCAAACGGGTGTTTATTGATCCTGACAAATGGGGCCCAGGTGATGAGCGGCCACATGTCTAGCGCTCACCATCGTGTTCAGTGTCTAGCACAGAGCTCCTTATGGAGAAGTGCGCTAAACATTTGTTGCCTTAAAAGAAAGGCGGGGCCAGGAAGAGGGCTCACGTGTACTCTTGGGTGGTGTCACCCCTGAGACAGTGGCCCAGAGGTGGGACACACGCACCCTGCTGGTCAGCACCTCAGAGATCCTGACCCTCACCATAATGGCTGGGTCCCACAGGCTGTGGCCGGAGCTGTGACAGGGCAGGCGGAGACTCACCGGGGATCCCAGAGATGGGACGGTGGTGGCCCGAGCCTGCAGGGCGGAGAGGAGCCACTGTAGGTGCTGGGTGGGAGCAGCACAGAGATGGGCCAGCGGGCCACACATGTGCAGGGAGTGAAGACAGGCAGAGCTGTGTGAGACGGCCAGTCCTGGGGCTGCATGGACCGTGGGGACGGAGGACGAGGAGACAGCCACAACTGATGAGATGCGTGTGTTTGACTGGAGACGTCTCTTGGCGCAGCCACGTGGGCAGGACTTGTGCTGGAGGTTTTAGAGGGGACAGTGGGCTTCTCTGTGCACACATTCGTCTCTGGGAGGCTGCTCCCTTCTGCGTCCTCACCATCTGCTTCTGGTTACCAGGTGGAGTACCTGTACTCGCTGGTCTACCAGGCCCTCGATTTCATCTCTGGCAAGAAGTGAGTACTGGTGGTCTGAGCTGGTGGGTGGAGGCCTGAGCCGGCGGGTGGTGGTCTGAGCCGGCGGGTGGAGGCCGGAGGCCTGAGCCGGCGGGTGGAGGCCTGAGCCTCGGGTGGAGGTCTGAGCGGTGGAGGTCTGAGCCAGTGGGTGGTGGTCTGAGCCCCCGGGTGGATGTCTGAGCCGGCGGGTGGAGGCCCGGGTGTCCGCCCTGCCTGCAGCCTCCCACATGCCCACGTGCTGATTCTCTTGCAGGCGGGCCAAGCAGCTCTCAGTGCGGGAACGTGGGGCCGATGGGGACGCCGCCAGCTCCGAGGCCCCCCAGGAGGCGGAGGACCAGGTGAGATCTCTTGGGTTCGGGGCCACTGCCTGCTGTGCACTTGCCAGGCGCTGCCCCTGAGCTCCGTCTCCCCATAGTTCCTGTCGCTAGACGACCTCCCTGACTCCCGTGCTAACGTGGATCTGAGGAACGACCTGGCTCCCCGTGTGAGTGCCCATCCCCCTGCAGGGGCTCCGTTTAGCGGATGGGGGTGTTGGAAGGTGCCCTCCCGTACGGTTCCCCCCCTGGAGCCCGTGGACCTGTGGCTCACCCGCTCCTGGCCTCCATGCAGGAGGTCCTCATCGTCCCTCTCCTGCCCATGGCCCTTGTGGCCCCTGATGAGATGGAGAAGAATGTCAGCCCCCTGTACAGGTACTGAGCCTGGCTGAGGGCGTCAGGTAAGGGGAGAGGGCTGCTTGGGAAGGATCTCTGCATGGCTGTGTTTTTGCCAGCACAGCTGTCAGGGGGAGGTCCTGGCCAGCCGGAAGGATTTTAGGATGAATACATGCACCCCTCACCCCAGAGGAGCCTTCATGTTGGAGCCGGTGGGCATGTCCCCAGTGGAGACACTGCTGCCGAGGAACCAGAAGGGTGAGGGCTTGGTGGGGAGGGAGGGTCTTCCGGGCTGGACCCTTCGTCGAGTCCCCTGTGCCTGCCGGCTCTGGTCCCGTCGCCCTCCCCAGGCACCTGCTCCACATCCCCTCTGCCCCCTTTGCCCATAGCTAGCTCGGCCCCGGGGAGGAGCTCAGTCTCTGCTCTCCTTCCCCAGCCCTGGCTCTGCTGGGCCCTGGGAGGGGCCTTCTGGAGGGAGGCCCTGGGCTGACCCTGTCCAATCCCCCATCTTCTCCAGAGGCTGAGAGGCCTGAGGAGCAGCCAATGGAAGTCTCTGTGTGCAGTCCCGTTCCTGTGCTCAGCGTCTCCCGGGAGCCAGGTGGGAAGAGAGACTCTCCACCACGGTGGACTTGCAGGGTACGGGTGGGGAGGTAGGGCTCAGCCACCCCAGGGGTGAGGTGTGGGGAGCAACGAAGCCTGGCTTCTTTGCGTGCGGGCCTCGGCCTCCCTCCCCACCTTGGCCCCGCTGTGGTGTCTTGGTCTCGTGACTGCCCTCTGACCGCTCTTGGGCCTGTGAGGTTCGGACCTACCCCCGGGCACGCACGGATGGCAGCCTTGCAGGAGGAAAATTGCTAAAAAGTAAAACGAGCCGAGTGACACGGGCATGACGAAAGGAGTGGTCGTACCAGCCTGGGTCTAATGAGTGGGGCCGAGCGAGGGAACTGCCTTGCCGTCCCTCTGGGGTGTTGGCCAAGGGCAGCCTCCCTTGGTCTTGGGCTTCCTGGGACTGACCAGTCTCTTGCTCCCCCACGCAGGCCCCTCTCCAGAAGGCCCACTGCCTGGAGGTGGTGATGAGGACGAGGACGCAGACGGGGCAGTGGAGCCCCCTGAGGACGTGGCCCCCGGCGCCCCTCCAGAGGCCCCGGAGCCCAGGAGCCCGCAGCAGGTGGGAGCCCTGCGGGGCCTGCAGAGGCCACAGGCAGCCCTGGGGGCCCCGCCTGCAGCCCCGCAGGCCTCTGGTCCTGCACCCAGCTCTTCCCAGCGGTGCCTTCCACACCTGTCCTCTTTCTGAGCAGAATAGCTGCTGCTCCTTAGAGAGGTGGCCTGGGGTTCAAGGGTCTGATCCCTGTGGTCATGGTGCCACCTAGGGTGGCGGCTGGTCCCCAAAGCTGACTCTTCTGAGCTCAGGCTGGCGGGAGGGGAGGGGGCTTGGAGGCTGTTGCTGCCCCCCTCCATCCCCAAGGGCTGCCTTTGTGTTCCAGCCTGGAGCTCAGAAATCTTTTTATTAAAAGAAAAGCCCTGATGCATACAGGAAAAATGTTAATGTTTCTAATTTTGATGGGTAGGTACATGCATGTTTATTGTATTCTTTTGTTTTCTGTTTTGGGTATTTTTTTAAAGGAAGAAAATAGTAGCCCATGACCACTAGTTTACTAGTCTGTATGTTCTCCTAAAATTCAAGTTTTTGTTTTCCTTAAGAGGGTCCCTGCAGGGTTCTTGACATCCAACCCTAGAGTAGAGTTACCGGGGTGCCCCAGCCTTGGGTGGAGGAGGAGAGAGAGATCCCTGGGGCTGTCTCTTTGCAGAGTGATGCCCAGCCCAGCAGGTGTGTGCTGCGGGAGCGACGGGAGCCCACGTCCCTGCTGAAGGTGAGGGTTAGCGGGGGTCAGACCCCCTCCCCCCAGTAGGGAGGATGTGCTTTGGGGCTCCACTGCCCACCCCTCACTCCTGCTTGCTTTCAGAGTCCTGGATGCCTGGGCTCCTAGCCTGACGCCCTTTGTGCTCTCTTCTGCAAGGAATTTTCCTTCCCCCAGAAATTGAATCCCATCTTCTGCCACTCTGGGGCACGTCTCTCTCTCGTGGGTCACCCTTGGGTCCTGGATTGAACGTGGTCAGCCCTTCGCTGGCTGTCACTGCACTCAGTGTTTGGACTTCTGGAGGGAAGGTGCACATCTCCTGCTCCCTCCAGGGTCTGCTTGTGCTCTTTGCTCAGGAGACCCCAGACCCCTGGCAGAGCCTGGACCCCTTTGACTCCCTAGATGCTAAGCCCTTCAAAAAAGGTAATTGGGTGGAGTGACATCTTCACTCGGGCACCTGTGGGTGGGTTCTCTGGAGCACTAGTGGTAGATGAGGGTGGGCTCTGGTGGGGGCTATGCTGCCTCATGCGCTTTGCACTTGCTCCTCGGGCTCATGGGTGCCATCATCCGCCCCAGGGCCTGAAGTTGTGCGCTGAGACATAGCCATTTGCCCCCAGGTAGGCCCTACTCTGTGCCCCCCTGTGTGGAGGAGGCTCCAGGACAGAAGCGCAAGAGAAAGGGTGTGACCAAGCTGCAGGACTTCCACCAGTGGTACCTGGCTGCCTGTGAGTGGGTGTTGTGGGGCTGGGCCAGGGCAGGAGGGTCTGGGTCCAGCTCATAGGGCCTCGGCTTGGTTCCTCCTGACCAAATTCTCTTGAAGATGCTGAGCACGCTGACAGCAGGAGGCCCCGACGAAAAGGCCCGTCCTTTGCAGGTGAGGTCAGGGCCGTGTGTGCACTCCGCTGAGTGCCTGCCTCCCCTCGGCCTGGGGGTACACGAGGCTCTAGGTGGACTGGGGAGGGGGGCCTGGGTAGGGCACGGGAGTCCCTCTCACATGGGCTTTGTGTGCAGACATGGAGGTCCTGTACTGGAAGCATGTGAAGGAGCAGCTGGAGACTCTCCGGAAGCTGCAGAGGAGGGAGGCAAGTACTGGTCGCTGTCTGGACCCCGCGGGGTCCCGGGTGGGAGACAGCAGTGCCCCTCATAGATGCTCTCTGTGCACAGATGGCAGAGCGGTGGCTGCCGAGACCTGAGGAGGGGCTATGGCCTGTGGAAGAGGACCGCCTGGAGGATTCCTTGGAGGAACTGGGGGCAGCAGGTGGGAGCCTACGGGGGTGGGCCGGGGTGGGGGCTCAGTATCCACTGCCAGCCAACATGCCTCCTGTGGGGGCTTCTCTGTCTGCCAGCAGATGACTTTCTAGAGCCTGAGGAGTATGCAGAGCCTCAGGAGGCCAAGCCCGGGGAAGCCACAGACCTGGGTAGGTCTGAGTGACCTGCTGGCCAGGGGACCACAAGGGGCCCCTGAGGATGGCGGAGGGAGGAAGGGGTGTGGCCCATGCCCGCAGCAGCTCATAGCTGCCCCTTTTCCAGAAGCAGAGGCCGTGCCAGCATCCCTGAGCTATGAAGAGCTGGTCCGCAGGAATGTGGTAGGTCTCAGAGCAGGTGAGGGGGGGGGCTGGGTGAGGGCCGCTCCCCCCCCCCCCCATGCACAGAAGGTGGCAGTTTCCTGATTCTGCCCTAGGAGCTCTTCATCGCCACGTCTCAGAAGTTTGTGCAGGAGACGGAGCTGAGTGAGCGCATCAGGCACTGGGAAGACACCATCCAGCCCCTGCTCCAGGAGCAGGTGAGGGGTTGGGCCAAGCCCTGGCTGACAACTAGGACTCCCCTGCTGCCTGGCTCGGTTTTGCCCCAGGATCTTGCCCCTCTTTCTTGCAGGAACAGCACGTGCCCTTTGATATCCACACCTATGGGGACCAGGTGGTCTCAAGGTTCAGCCAGCTCAACCAGTGGTGTCCCTTTGCGGAGCTAGTAGCTGGCCAGCCTGCCTTCGAGGTGTGTCGTTCCATGTTGGCCTCCCTGCAGCTGGTGAGTGGCTTGGGGAGCCTGGGAGGGAAGTGGTCCCCGACTCTGCTGACACCTTATCCCTATAGGCCAACGACCACACAGTGGAGATCACCCAGCAGCCAGGGCTGGAGGCAGCTGTGGACACCATGTCCCTGAGACTACTCACCCACCAGCGGGCCCACAAGCGCTTCCAGACTTACGCTGCCCCCTCCATGGCCCAGCCCTGAGTGGGGAGCGTGGAGGCTGAGGGGTGGGCTCTGGAGCTCCATCCGTCATGGGTGCTGGGCATTGCATCTGCTCACTCTACCCCTGTTTCCTGGCTGGCCCAGCCCAATAAAATGGTGTTGCCATCCCACCTAACCTTAAGAAAACTTAAAACTCCTGCTTTGTGCAGGGAAAGGGCTGCCTTTTCCTGCCTTGGCCTCCTGGGGCCACCGGTAGAGACCACAGGCACACAGCTCTGTCACACCCTCTTTAATGACCTGGTTCAGTCCAGGATGCTGCGAAAGGTAGCCATGTGGCGCCTCACGCTGTCTGCAATCTGCTCTGCTGATCTGGCCCGGCTGTAGTAGTCTGTGAAGAGGCCGTCAGGGCTGAGCAGGTAGATGGCAATGGAGTGGTCCACGATGTAATCCTGGTCCTCGTCCTTGGGGCCGGCACTGTAGTATACACGGTAGCTGCGGCTCACTTGGGCTACCTGCTCAGCAGAGCCGGTCAGGCCCAGCAACCGTGGGTGGAAGTCTTGTACGTAGCGGGCCATGGCTGCGACAGTGTCCCGCTCGGGGTCCACAGTAATGAAGACAGGCTGCACTGGGGGCAGGCCAGGCTCGGCCTCCAGCTGCCGCACCACCTGCACCAGCTTTTCCAGCTCATCTGGACAAATGTCCGGGCAGTGAGTGAACCCAAAGTACATCAACACCCACTGACCCCGGAAGTCGGCTTTGCAGCGAGCCTGTCCCTGGTGATCCACCAGGCTGAAGTCACCCTGGCCCACAGCTGCCTGGCGCAGGGCCTCTGTCCGCTGCTGCTGCCTCTGGTGTTCCTTCTCAGCCCTTGCGGCCAGCCAGGCCCCACCCAGCCCAGTCCCAAACAAGGCAGTGATCAACAGCCTAGTTCGCAGCCCAGGGCCCTGGGGTCGGCTCTGCCTGCATGTCTCTCCAGGGCCCTGACTTGACAGAAGCTGGCACCTCACATGTCGGGCCTTGCCTCCCGGGGTCCAAAGGAGGGCCGAGGGCTTGAGATGAGAGAGCCTGTGCCAAGCCTTGGGTGCCCAAACCAGCAGCAGCATGGACCTGATGCGCCTAGGAAAGAGCACAGGTGTCAGGAGCCTGCAGCTGACTCCGCCTCCTGGGTCAACCCCCATTGCTCTGGGGAGACTTGCCACCATGGGCAGGACCAAGCCCACACTGCACTGCTCGCTCAGTGCTCAGCAGAGCTCAGAACTGCTTCACCTATGAAAGGTGTCACCAAATGCCCATGCCTCTCACTCCCGTCCTTCAGCTGGAGAGCCTCTGTCTCCTCCCGCCCAGGTCCTGCGCCTACAGCTCCATACAGCCTGGGGAAGCACTCCGCACCTCACCGTGTCGGCTGATGGGAAGCATTCCCAGTGCATGCCTTGCCTGGGCTCCTGAGCATGCGTACCGGTTTGCAATAAACTCCCGTTTCTTGAAAGGAGGCGGCTGAGTCTCCTTCGGCCCTTCTGCGGCCTGTCAGCCTTTCACCTCTTCAACCCTGGTCCTGTGTCCCCTCCCCCGCGCTCAGCAGCAGCCCTTTGCGCCCACGCCGGTCTGGCCACAGGGAGCCCGGGCAAGTACCACCAGTGCCGCTCCACGCCGAGCTTTCCTGGTGCTCTCACCCCGAGGAACGACGTTTCCACTGGTCACAAGTCCCACCCCCCCAACCCTTCGCAGCCAGGACCCTGACACCAATTCCACTGTCCGCCATGTCCTCCTCACGGGAGCCCCTGGAAGTTTGCTAAGTGGGGGCCTCCGGACTCCCCCTCACCTGTTCAGCCGCTTAAAAGACCCTGGCAAGGATTCCCAGACGTCTGGTCTCCGCCCACGGCCGGATGGTTCCTGGGCTTGAGCTCTGGGCTGGATGACCTTCGGCACGTCCTACAGCCTCTACATCGGCTTCCTCCTCTGCACTCGGGATGTGCCTGGCAAGCGAAGGCAGCCAGGGGATACTTCCTGAACCCCTTTTTTCTGGCAGCCCCACCGCCGGGGCGCTCTCCCGAACGCGCACCTGTAAGGTCAGAAAGGGGGACAGCGAGCCACACTCCGAGCACGACCCAGGCTCAGCGGAACCCGGCGTCAGTGCCGCGACTATCTGTACAGGCCCGCTCTGTGCGAGCCCGTCGCCGCCGCAGGCTCGACCACGCCGCACCCGCTGTCGCTGTCGCCAGGGTCCTGCGCTACCGGTACGCTCGACTCCGGCGCGCATGCTCAAGGGCATCGCGCACGCGCAGACAAGCGTGAATGTCCTCGCCCCGCCCTCCCTGCTTCGCTGAGCGCATGCGCAAAAGGCGTCGGGCGCCGCCTGAGGCCAAGTACGGGGCTGGGCGGGGCTTCCTCCCCGGCCCCGCCCCTCCCTTCCAGTCCTGCGAAGGCGCGCTTCCCTCGGAGCCTCACCCCTGCCCTTTAGTCTCGGCGCCCTTGCCCTTCCTGTGGTTTCCCTGCAGCGGGTTCATCCGCTATATGTCGGTCGGCATTCGGGCGGCGGGAGGAGGTTGGCTAAGGACGAAGGGTCGGCGAGGGGCTCGCGGTTTGAGGGCACGACGCCCCCTGCAGCGCCCGCCTCCGGCCCACGCTGACGTGCGGCTTGGCGCCCACCCCCTGCCGGAGGGGGTCCCTCGCGTGGCTGCGCCCGGGTGAGCTGCGCGGTGCCGGCCGGAGGCGGGGGGTCAGGGGTGAGAATCCGGGGCTCGGGGGAGCAAAGGGGATGGCAGCTCGAAGAAGAGAAGGGGCCTGGGTTGGTGGGGAGGGACGGACGTCTCCCGGGCCCGGGCCCCAGCTCTGCGCCTGCTCAGAGCGCTCCTGGGCGAGGCCGTCGTCCAGCTCCCAAGAGGCACACGGGGCCCAAAGTGCCGGAGTTAGGAAGGGAAGCTGAGCTCACGTTAGGAGACCCGCCCAGACGGAGGCCACAGAGCTCCAGCGGGCTCAGGTGCCCCGGGGCTCTTGCCAGCCGCCGGGTGTGACCGGGGAATACTTCAAGTCCACCGCCAGAGGGGATCCGCTGTCCACCGCCTTCTGACAGAATGGAGGCGGCTGGGGGGACGCAGAGGAGGCTGGAGCTTTTTCAGAGATGTGGGGTGTGAGGAGTGAGATGATTCATTTTCAGAAATACCAAATAAACGCTGTGGTGTCTAGTTAACAGGAGGTTTACAACCTATTGGAAGTATGTAGAAACACCCCTACCCCCCACTCGTGGAGTCCCAGACTTCACGTAGGCTCTTCACTTCCTGGTTCTTCCCTCTCCTTTCGCGCCTTACTTTCTTGGACTTTGCAATGAGCACATGGCAAAGAACTGAAGGCCGCATCACCTCAGGGAATGTACATTTGTTTCAACCAGACTACTTTTTGCCTTCCACGGGCCTAGGCTACCTCCGGGTAAGGCTGAAACCTCTGTAGTAGTCAGTCAATGAGGAACCCCGGGAGGGACTTCACCTTAGGAGATAAATTGCCTGCTGTATCTGCTCTTGCAAGAATGTTGATTAAAGCTTGACTTCACTGTGGTGAGTCTCTGTGTCTTTCCTTTGATTGGGTCAGTGGGCTTATTTCTCACAGGGGTATACTGACTCTTGGGTCAGTCATGAGGGGTTAGGGACCCTGAACATTGAAGATCAAGTCTTATTTTACCTGCAGCAGGCTTGGTGGGTTGTGCATCAGGTCACCCTTCTGAGTTGGTGGTCAGTGATCTTGCAATGGGACACTGATCCTGGGGTTCATTCAGATCACCAGGGATTGGGGGAAGTCCCATGGGCCCCTGATGAGAGGACCCTGACTGTGTGGGTCAGATGTCAGGTATCTTAACCATGCAGGAGGTAGACCTGGAGTCTGAGGTCAGATTACCTGTGATGACTAGCAGGTTGTCAACCATGACTGACATTTCTGGCTTCATACAGGAGTCCATCACAGGAACCCGCTTCTTGCCCTGACTCCTAGGACAGCAACCCGCTCCCTCCTGCAGCCCTTCTGTCTGGCCAGACTCCCCTGCATCAGGACTCCCACTGATCTCTTCACTGACCCTAAAGGGTTCATCAGCAACCATGACAGGTGTCCAAGGCCATGACAAGAAACTTATGAACAGTTTTGGTAATTCCTCATTAATGACTGATCTGACCCACCAGGTATATTGACCAATGTCCTTTGGCCCATTAATGATTGATCAGAAGCCCAATAGTGATTATGATCAAGTCCCTATTAATGACTCCAATCAAGGTTACACTGCTGACTTGACCAAAGTTCAGTAACCATTGATGACCCATGAATAACTTCGATTAATATCCTTACTCATTAATGATGCTGATTAATGACCTATCAGTGATTCTTCAGAGATTCTGGCCAATATTACCATCAAGAATCTAGATCAACGACCAGTGACCCACTTGGCCACTTGCTTTTCGCTCTGGATGAGGGTGAATCCAGGAATAGACTCCAGTTTATTGGCAGGGCTTCTTCCCCGGCCTGCTCCTCCTTGCCCCACAGGGTACCCAGACCACATCCGTTGATCATTGGTACCTGCTGGGCAGAGATGCTGAGTACACCTACACACCTACTTCTCTACTTCCACACTCTCCCCCACTTTCCCTAGTTAGGACTTCAGCTGGCATGAAGTATTTACTAAGTAGTTGTAATGGGTGTGCAGTGGATGGAGAGGGAATGGAAAAGAAATGTTTTGATTTAGTATGAGGAGTGATGAAGAGGAGGCTAGTCCCTACCCCTAGGAGCACAAGTCTGGGAAACCAAGAGAGGAATACCCAGCCCTTCCCTTGGGAGTCCTGACTGGGGAACCCCAGGGGAACTGGAGGACTTGGTCCTGTTATGGAGGGCTAATGGGATGGGGTAACCTAAACTACATCATAGGGGCGAGAAGCCTGGACCCTGCCTTTGGGAGACTGTCCAGCCAGGCTTGAAGTTGAAGACTGCCTGTAGGCTGCTAACTGACCTCTTTGAGACCTCTGGTCTGGAGAGGAGGCATCTTCTAACCTTGAAGCCTGTAGTCTGCCTGGTAGGTACGAGGTCCAGGCTGACCTTGTCACCTACTCCCCCGTGGAATATTTGCCCACGAGCTGCTGGTGGAAAGCCTCTGGCCACTCCAGCTGCAGCCTAGACTTGGCCAGGGCCTGGGTCAGCGCCATGGTCTTCTTCAGATCTATGCCTGGCAGTGGCATGGCCATTAGCATGGCCTCTAGGCATGGGATATGGTGGTGTAGCCATCACGAGGGGGAGCGGGATTCTCACAGCAGTAGGCTGTCTTGAGGTCACTGACAGTGGTGGTGCCCTGTGGTGTCCCGGGGGCAGTCGGTCTCGGACTGACCTCAGGGCTAGGGGTGCCCAGAAGTTCCCATGCACGAATTTGCACGCTCTGCGCGCTCACGTCCACAGCGCGCACGAAGCCCCTGATGTCCCCTTAGCTCAGGAGGCCTTCGTCTCTCTTCAGGCAGATCAGCCCTGGGATTTGCTCTGGAGGCCCCTGGCTCCCTCCCCCCGAGGTCACCGGGCGCGCCTGGTCCGTGGGTCCCTGGGGCGCCATAGCTCCGAGCCTGCGGGGTGCGAGGCCGCTGGAATCTGCCGCCACCCCGTGTCCGTGTCTCTGCCGCAGGTGCACCTGTCCCGACCCTGATCTGGTCTCTCCTCCTGCCCGCCCCCCTGTCCCATGTCTGGTGCCCGTGTGCGTGTCTCCGTGTCTGGCTCCCATTTGTTGGCCTCACAACCTGACCCCGGCCTGTACCTGTCCGGTACAGCGGCCCTCGCCCATCCTGCTTCGGATTCCAGCCATTTGCCGCCTGGTTCCGCGTGGCCGCAGGACGGCGGGTGGGCGGGGCCGCCCGGACAGGCGGGACTCTCGGCCAATGGCCGCCCCAGGGAGGCGGGACGACCCCGCCCCTTCTGTCCCGACCAATCAGGAAGGCCCGCGGGGGGAGCGACTTCCGCGACTTCCCAGGCCCCCTAGGCCCACAGCGCTCCCGGGACCCGTCGGTCCGAGCGTCCCGCCGTGCACGCCCCGCACGCCCGCCGCGAACACACAGGGGCGGACACACTGCTGGCTCGGGAGGCTTTAAGCAAACGTTTGTGGGGTCGCGCCTGCCCGGCGGGTCAGTCATCCGCGTCCGTCAGGACCCGGGCCAGGTAGTCCGAGTGCCGTATCCCGAAGCTCCAGCCGCCGGGCTTGCGGTGCTGCGGACGCAGGAGACGGCACTGACCTCGCGGGGCCAGGCGTCCAGCTCCGCGCCGGGTCCCCCGGGCCCTGCCCCTCCTCCCCCGCCCCCTCCCCTTGACCCAGCACCCCAGACCACCTGGTCCACGTTGTAGGCTGCGGGCCCCGGGTTCAGGGTGTTGTCCTGGGGGAGTGAAGTCCGCGCCAGCATTGAGAACTGGGGGGCCCGAGGCTTGTAGATCCCCGTGTTCACCACGTGGTAGGCGCAGGGACCCGGGGTCTGTGGGAGCGCAGCGGGGCGCACTGGCCTTCACCTCTTGCTCCCGACCCTCTGTGGCCCTCGGGGGCACCCCAGCCTGCGCCGCGCCCGGCAGCCCCTCTCCCACCTTGTTGAGGTCCTCGAAGAAGCTGCCCACTGCGCTGCGGCCATAGATGGAGTAAGTTGGGGCCGAGACTTTACCGATGACCCGCGGACCCAAGAGCGAGGGCACAGTGTAGGCCCCGGGGCCTGGGGAGGAGCCAGAAAGGGGTGAGTCTTCCCTGCCTGGCCGGGCTTTCCGCGTTGCAGTGTGTAGAGTGGTTCCCCGTCAGGGATAGGAGGGTCCACGGTGCTGGAACAGGCCTGTCTGACCTCACCTGGGGTCTGCTGCTCCGCGTGGACACCCCAGTTCCGGGGCGCGATGGTGTGCCGAGGCGCACTGGGGTACGTCGCGTTCCCAGCTCGCTCGGGGAAGTACCTTCCTGCGGGGCGGACCGGGAGTGTGGGCTGGGACTGGGTTGGGGACCTGGTGGGGACCCGGGTTGGGGGTCCTGGTGAAGCCCGGTGGGGCTTGGGAGTTCTTTTGAGATCCAGATATGGGGGCACCGATTTTGGAGTGTTAGGGTACACGAGGGCGGGGGCGGGGCCCAGGTACAGGGTTCCCGGGAGGACCTTCTCGGAGGCGGCTCTGCCCTGGGGAGCCCGGGGTCCCAGGGGTCCTGACCGGGTCCCGGAGTGAGGAAGGGCGCGGCGTGGCGCGGACGGCCGTAGATGGAGTAGGCGGGGGTGCCGTCGCGGCCGCGCACGGTCATGCGAGCGGGAACCAGGAGGCCGGGCCCCGGGCCGCACGAGGTCTGCTGCGTGGGGAGGCGCGCGCCGAAGGAGAATGCCGGGGCGCGGGGCCGCGACGGGTCGTGCGGGGTGTAGCCTGAAGGAGCGTCCCAGCGTCACCTCCGGGCCCCGCTGCCCTCCGCCCCGGGCGCAGCCCACCGTCCCCGTCCCTCCAGCAG